TCTCATTTGTGTTTGCCACACAACACCACAGGAAAACAAACCAGGAATTAAGGCTCATTAGTGTTTTCTGACCCAGAGTGGCCTTTGAAGCCCTTCCCACCCTTACTCCTAACTCAGACGTTACTCACGGCCTGGTTTTCCATCTGTAACTCCCCATTCCACAGGCATTCCAGTGCTCTAATTAGACACCAGGGAGGTGACAGGACCCAGAGGCCCCACGGAGCTCCGCTGCACCCTGTGGCCCTGGGACAGGGGACACTGCCAGAGCAGAGGGCGCTGCCTGCCATGGTCACTCAGGGGTGGCACATTCCCAAGGAGCTGCTCCATTTCTGGGGCAGTTTTGATGGCACAAGAGCAAGAGACAAACGGAGGCCACGCTGAACACCCAAACAAGCACCAGAGGATTTGTTTCACAACTCCCTGAGTGACCAAACCAAGCTGGGACACGTTTTTGGGGGTCTTCTTCAACCGAATAAGATTTTCCTGATTTGGGAGAGCTGCAAGAGAGAAATGAGATGAATTTTAATCAGGAGACCACAGGATCTCTGCTTGGCCCAAGACACTTTCCACTGTCCCAGACTACTCCAAGCTCCATCCAGCCTGGCCTTGGACACTTCCAGGGATCCAGGAGCAGCCACAACTGCTCTGGGCACCCTGTGCCAGGGCTGCCCACCTCCCAGGGAACAATTCCTGTCCAGTATCCCAGCTAACCCTGTCCATTTCCTGTGTCCTGGCACTGTCACAAGAGGATGTGTTTGGAGCTGCTCCCTGGTGTCTCTGCTCTACTGCAGCCTGCTCCTGAGCACCAACCAGGACTGCCAAGCCCTGTTCCTGTATGCTGGAATCCACCTCATGCTGCCTTGGATGGAAGAAAATCACAGAACCATGGAGTGTCCTCAGCTGGAAGGGACCCACAGGGGCCCTGCACAGACACCCCAGCAATCCCAGCCTGTCCAAACCCTCCTGGAGCCCTGGCAGCCTCAGGGCTGGGACCATTCCCTGGGGAGCCTGGGGAAGAGCCTTTCCTGATCTCCAACCCTGGCTCCTGTCCCTGCTCACAGACAAGGATCAGAGCTGCCCCTCGGGAGGAGCTGCAGTTGCTGCCGGTGCTACAGCAGAGCCTCCTCCTGTCCTCACTGCTCTGTCCTCACCTGCTGCTTCCTGTGGCTGTGACTTTGGGACATCTGAACTGCTGCACCAGCATCCATCAGGACCACAAGAACCACGGGACAAGGGCACCCTCTGGGGAAGAGCCTTTCCTGATCTCCAACCCAAACCCCCCTGGCCCAGCTCCAGCCCTTCCCTGGCTCCTGTCCCTGCTCACAGGCAGGGATCAGAGCTGTCTCCCCCCTTGAGATGAAGCTGAAATAGGTTCTGACCTGAAATTGTAAGAGTTATTAAGACTCTGACACACTCCAATTTTAGCTGGCAAAGGAATAACCAATGAACCCATCTGCCAAGCACCAATTCCAAGCTGAGGATCACCCATGACCATGGACACACTTCAGTTTTGGAGCCCAGCTTCCCACCTAATATTTAATTATTGGTTTAGCCAGGTAAACAGGCCTGAGTGTAACCAACTGACCTCTCATTTGTGTTTGCCACACAACACCACAGGAAAACAAACCAGGAATTAAGGCTCATTAGTGTTTTCTGACCCAGAGTGGCCTTTGAAGCCCTTCCCACCCTTACTCCTAACTCAGACGTTACTCACGGCCTGGTTTTCCATCTGTAACTCCCCATTCCACAGGCATTCCAGTGCTCTAATTAGACACCAGGGAGGTGACAGGACCCAGAGGCCCCACGGAGCTCCGCTGCACCCTGTGGCCCTGGGACAGGGGACACTGCCAGAGCAGAGGGCGCTGCCTGCCATGGTCACTCAGGGGTGGCACATTCCCAAGGAGCTGCTCCATTTCTGGGGCAGTTTTGATGGCACAAGAGCAAGAGACAAACGGAGGCCACGCTGAACACCCAAACAAGCACCAGAGGATTTGTTTCACAACTCCCTGAGTGACCAAACCAAGCTGGGACACGTTTTTGGGGGTCTTCTTCAACCGAATAAGATTTTCCTGATTTGGGAGAGCTGCAAGAGAGAAATGAGATGAATTTTAATCAGGAGACCACAGGATCTCTGCTTGGCCCAGAGCTGCCTCTTGCTGACAAACCTTCTTTAAGACCTTGAGCAGAAGTTTTCAGCCTCACCAAAAGCTACAAAAACCCCCAAAACTAAAAATCTGATGTATTTGCTTTCCCAAGGAGCACCCTGTGGGTGAAATATTAAAAAATTACATGCTAGGACACAGATAATGTATCCCATAAAACTCACCATGGATCTCCTGCTACATCTCTACTGTTCCCTCATGTGCTGAAGGGTCTGAAAAATTAAATAACTCAGGCTCTCAACAGTGGGAAGGATCAGCATCACAGAATCACAGAGTGGTTTGGGCTGGAAGAGACCTTAAAGCTCCTCCAGTGCCACCCCTGCCATGGCAGAGACACTTTCCACTGTCCCAGACTACTCCAAGCTCCATCCAGCCTGGCCTTGGACACTTCCAGGGATCCAGGAGCAGCCACAACTGCTCTGGGCACCCTGTGCCAGGGCTGCCCACCTCCCAGGGAACAATTCCTGTCCAGTATCCCAGCTAACCCTGTCCATTCCCTGTGTCCTGGCACTGTCACAAGATGTGTTTGGAGCTGCTCACTGGTGTCTCTGCTCTACTGCAGCCTGCTCCTGAGCACCAACCAGGACTGCCAAGCCCTGTTCCTGTATGCTGGAATCCACCTCATGCTGCCTTGGATGGAAGAAAATCACAGAACCATGGAGTGTCCTGAGTTGGAAGGGACCCATAGGGATCCTGCACAGACACCCCAGCAATCCCAGCCTGTCCAAACCCTCCTGGAGCCCTGGCAGCCTCAGGGCTGGGACCATTCCCTGGGGAGCCTGGGGAAGAGCCTTTCCTGATCTCCAACCCTGGCTCCTGTCCCTGCTCACAGACAAGGATCAGAGCTGCCCCTCGGGAGGAGCTGCAGTTGCTGCCGGTGCTACAGCAGAGCCTCCTCCTGTCCTCACTGCTCTGTCCTCACCTGCTGCTTCCTGTGGCTGTGACTTTGGGACATCTGAACTGCTGCACCAGCATCCATCAGGACCACAAGAACCACGGGACAAGGGGAGCCTGGGCTCTCCTGTGCTCCATCCTGCTTCCTGTGGGCACCACCAGCATCCCCAGGGCTCCTTCCTGCCAGGCACAGAGTGAAATCCCCTTCCTGACCCCCAGGGATGGGCCAGGGCAGCTCCTGCCCCTCTTCCAGCCTGCAGACAGCTCGCTTCCCACAGCCCTCCAACTGCTCCACAGGCATCCAGAGCCCAACAACTGCAACAGCAGCTGCTCCTCCTGCCAGGCCCCAGGAGCAGCTGAGGGAGCTGGGAAGGGGATCAGCCTGGAGAAAAGGAGGCTCAGGGGAGACCTTCTGGCCCTGCACAACTACTGACAGAAGGGGACAGCCGGGGGGGTCGGGCTGTGCTCCAGGGAACAGGGACAGGAGAAGAGGGAACGGCCTCAGCCTGGGCCAGGGCAGGCTCAGGGTGGACACCAGGAGGAATTTGCCCATGGAAAGGGTGGTCAGGCCTTGGCAGGGGCTGCCCAGGGAGATTTGGAGTGCCCATCCCTGGAGGTGTCCAAGGAAGGCCTGGAGGTGGCACTCAGTGCTCTGGGCTGGTGACAAGGTGGTGACTGGCACAGGGAGGACTCAATGATCCTGGAGGGCTTTTCCTACCCCAACGACTGTGTGATTCCCCAGGGAATCTCCCTGCTCATCCTGCTCACCAGCACAAGCACCACTGAGAGTACAAATTCCCGGCAGTCTGGACTGGAAAAGGGTGTGAGAAAGGACAAGTGACAGGGATTTCTCCTTCTAAGGAAAAGCACCTGGGAGGTAACAGCAGGAAGGACAAATTGGGAGGACGCTCCATGGCAGGATTGGAGCATCACGACCATTTTAAACCATTACTCAAGGCCACAGTCATGGGCTCCCGAGGCTCCAGCCGTGTCCCTTCATGGAGCGCTGGAATTAACTCCGAGCCGGGCACGAGGGGCGGGCGAGCGGCCGCGCCGCCAGCCTGGCACTGGCCCCTCTCGGGCGTTCAGTTACAGGCGCTATTTTGCTCCCCTGGCTCTGGCCAGGTGTAACCCAATCCCTTGCTCACAGTCGCGTCCAGGCTCCTCGCCGAGGCCGCGTCCGGAGGTCCTTGTGCCCTCTGATCGCCACGACCCCGAGGAACTCGCCACAAGCAGAGTTTGCCCGGCGGAGTTTCGCCTCGCTGCGAGCAGCCCGCAGCGCGCCCGCCCACACTGCTGCTGAAGCAGGGCTGCATCTGCAAGCACAGCGCTCACAAACACCCGGGGTCCCCGAGCGCGACACAACGCGGTGCCAATCCAGCCCCGGAGCCGCTGGGGCCCAGCTCCAGGGGCCGGGCTGGGACTCCCCCCGTTCTGCCCGAGTGACGGAGCACGTTCTGATCGGGCGGAAAGGCCGTGGGGTGTGCGCCCGCTGCCCACAGAGCCCCGCCAGGGCCACCGCCACGCCGGGCACGCACATTTCGGCCCTGCTCGCCCCTCCTGCTTCACCCCCCCGGCCAGCGGAGCTTTGTGCGGGGCTGGGCCGCGACCCCGCTGAGCCCCCGCGGCCGCAGCCCCGCCGGGCTGAGGGGGGTTGAGACACCGAGGAGCACACGAGGGGCCGGAGGACGGGCAGGGGCCTGCTCCAAGGGTGGACCTGAAGTGGGACTGAAGAAGCGGCGAGCAGCGGGGCTGGGGGCGACCCTCAGCCCCCCGCGCCGAGCGAGGCCGCGGTCCCTTTAAGAGGCCTAGCAGCGCCGCGGGACCGCCGCGCCGCCGGACGCGTCCCGCCGCCTCCTCAAGCAGCGCCGCAGCGCCGCGCCGCCCGCCCGCGCCCCCCCGGCGCGCCGGGGCCGCCACCCTGGCCCGCGCCGCCGCCCTCACCCCGCTGTCGGCCGCCTCCTCCCAGCTCTCCGCGACCTCCTCATCTTCCATTTTAATTCCCGTCCGCCGCCGGGCCCGCGCCCCGCGCATGCGCGCGCCGCCCGCCGGCCCGCGCCCGGCAACGCACGCGCAGCGCGCGGAAAGGGCGGGAAGTGGCGGCGGGGGCGCGGCGCCACAGCGCTCCCTGGTGGCCAGGAGGACCGGGCTCAGGGCGGGTGTTTCAATGCCGACGCGTTTTCCCTTAATTTTTGTGTTTTCCTTAAATTTTAAGATGTTTTCCCTTCGTTTGAGCGTGCTTTTCCTTTGAGATATGTTCCCTTCATTTTTGTGTGTTTTCCCACAATTGTGAGGAGTTTTCCCTTAATTTTGAGGTGTTTTCCCTTGATTTTGGTGTGTTTTCTCTTAATTTTGAGGGCTTTTTGTTTGTTTGTATTTCTATAGTATTGTTTTCCCTTAAATTTTTGGGTCTCTTCTCTTAGTTTTATGGTGTTTTCCCCTAATTTTGGGTTGTTGGACAAATCTCTCACAAAATTTAGGCTATTTCGGCCACGAATCCAGCCTCTGGTCCCTCCTGCAGACATCCAGGTGTCCGTGTGTTCTTCCATCCAATTCGTGCCTCTTCATTTAAGCCTAAAGCTGCTCTTATGGAGCACAAGGATCAGCTCCAGCCTTCAGAAACATCAAAAATTCCCCAAGTCCCCGTAATTTCTTAAACCTTTCTCATTTATATCCAAGATATTCACCACTCCAATGTTCTCCTTTGAGCTCCGAGCCATACAAGGGTTTTTGGGGTGGGATTTGCGTTTCCTTTTCCTCGCTCAAAAATTAACTGCCCCTTCAGCACCCTAAGAAACCCACGATTTTCACACAGGGAGTTAGAGAACCTGCCCTTAAATCCTGAACTTTTCCCCAGATTCCCGCCCAATAGCCAGAGTTTGCCGGCAGATGGCGACTGGACTCCTAAAAATATCCCAATAATCCTCCAGCTAAAACAAATCCTGATGCCTGTGGTCTGCCTCTGAGTCTGAGTCTCCAGCTCCTCTGCCAAGCCCAAAATTTGGGCAGGGAACCTCCGGACACCCCCGCAGGTGGATTTTGGGGGGCTGTTTACCCAAGGTAGAACTGTTGGAGGGGGTTTGGGGGTTGTGCAGTGCTCTATGGCATTAAATCCTTGGATTTCAGCTCTTTTGGCAGCTCAGAGGGGTGGAATTTGGCATTTCCCCTCGAGAAATTGCAGCAGCCTGGGGCTGTTCCTCCCCATCCTCTGGGTCTTTTCCAGAAGCAACAGGAACTGAGTTTTCCAGCAGCCAGAGCCTGGCATGGTTGGCTCGATCCCTTCCAGCATTCCAGCGGCATTCCCTGGGACGTTCCCTTCCATCCTGCTGTAAAAAATCCCTGTCCCAGCCATGGCTGACCCTGCACATCCCAAAAAACTGGGATGGATCCGTTGGGAATGATGATGATGGCGGCGCCACATGCCAAGGGAGCTCACTTGGGTGGTGGATAAACTCCACGTGTGTCCCCCAGCCCTGCACAGGCCACCTGGGACACATCCTATGGCTCCTCCCGGGTTATCCCAGCCCTGCACATCCGTAGCTCATCCTGGGTTATCCCACAGAGCACCTGCAACATCCCACGGCTCCTCCTGGGTTATCCCAGCCCTGGGACATCCCACGGCTCCTCCTGGGTGATCCCTCAGAGCACCTGGGCCATGCCAGGGCTCCTGGCCGTGGATCCCGGCTCTCCATGCGGCTCCTGGAGCAGGCCTCAGGCAGGGCACGGTCCGGGATGCTGAGCCGGCTCCTCCATGCGGGATGCGGGTCAGTGGGACAGACAGACAGCGTGGCAGTGATCACTTTTTCCCCGGATAATAATGTCCCCACACAACCCGCCAGAGGGATCTGATGGCAACACACAGCCCCGCACAGGGCTGTTCCCCCATGGAATGGGCTCCACTCCCTTCCTCGCCTCCATGGGGAGAGGAGCACCACAGCCCGGCACGCACAGCTCACATCCCGCCTCCCTGCCGAGCCCTCAGAGCTCCACGTCTCTGAGGGGTAAGCAGGGACATGGCGGGGCTGCAGCAGGCTGAGGGGCGCCCCTGCGGGCAGAGCGGGGCGCCGTGGCCCAGCTGCGCCTCCCGGGGCTGTGGATGAGGGTGGGAAACCGGGAGGGAGCGGGACAAGGAACAGATCCGCCCCGGCACCTCCGCCTCAGCGCCGACCTCCCCAACATGGCGGCCTCGCCCGCCCGCCTCGCCCAACACGGCGGCGGGACCATCCCAACATGGCGGCCCCCGCGCTGCGCCGCGAAGAGAAGACTTGACCTTCCCATCATGGCGCCGCCATAACACCACCCCATAACCGCTCTATCATCACGTGACGCTAGGGGGTGGTCCCGCGCCTGCGCAGAGCGCGCCCGGCGCGGCCGGGGCAGCGGCGGGAGGGCGGGGAGGGAAGATGGCGGCGCCGGTCGGAGCCGTCACCGGGGCGACGCAGCGGCCCCGCCGCCCGCAGCCCTGAGGGCCCGGCCCGACTCGGCCCGGCCCGGCGGCAGGTGAGAGCGGCCCCGCGGTGCGGCTTCCCCGGGCGGGGCCCTTCCCCGGGGAGCGGGGCGGCGGGACGGGCCCCTCGGGGCGGGACAGGCCTGGTGTGGAGGGGGCCACATTTGAGGGTGGAGGGAGCCCCTGTGCCAGCCCCTCACAGCGTTTTGGGGGTCGCTGCGGAGGGCAGTGCCCACGGGGGGCTGTAGCCCCTTCTGGGAGGGGGAAACCCCTTCCCAGCTCCGGGGTGCGAGGGGAAGGCGGCCCCGGGGGCTCCCTCAGGGCGGGGAGAGAGCAAAGCTTGTCCCTAAAAAACCGGTGTTGCCCCCTAAAAAACCCGTGTTGCCCCCTGAAAGCCGTGTTTCCTTCCCAAAAAGCCAAGCTTCTCCCCCGAAAGCAGTGTATGAATGAGTGTTCCTCATTCCCCAGTATGCCGTTTCCTCCCCTAAAATACATGTTTCCCCCAAAAAAGGCATTTCCCCAAAAACCTCGCGTTTCCCCAGAAAAGCCATATGTTCTCCCTAAAAGCCATGATTCCCTAGAAAACCTCATGTTTCCCCCAAAAGCCATGTTTCTCTCCTAAGACTTCTATTTTCCTCCTGAAAAGGCATGTTTTCCCTAAAATGCCATGTTTCCTCTCTAAAAGCCATGTTTGCCCCCCCAACCTCCATCCTTTCCCCAAAAAAAACTATATTCTCCTCACCGCCCCGCCCAAAAAAAAAAAAAAAAAAGCCCCATTTTCCCCTAAAAGCCCTGTTTCCCCAAAATCCAGTGCTGGCACGGGGCAGTGCCAAGGCACAGGCTGGCAGTGCCGGCATGGGGACGAATGGCTTTTTTGGGGGGAAATGCGGCTTTTAGGGGGAGACCATGGCTCTTCGGGGAGGAAACAGCTTTTGGGGAGGGGAAATACGGCTTTTGGGGCCAAGTATGCTTTTTAGGCGTTGGTCAGCGGCTCTTTGGGGGACAGGCATGGCTGGGGGGTGTCCCCAACACCTCAGCTCGCGTTGGGTTCGCGTGAAAACAAAGGTGAGGCTCGGTCCCCGCTTGCTGTGAAGCCGCCTCTCCCCTCGCTCCGCGGCCGGCCGTGTGTCACTTCCCCGATTTTGGAATGGGATCGCGGTCTGGGAGCAGCCGAGGTGCCCAGCCCGGCACCCCCGGGGCTTTGGGGTGTCGCTCCCCCTTGTCTGCGCTGCCGGTCTCCGCTCGGGGCTTTGGGAACGTGTTTGGGGTTGATTTGGGCTGGTGTTCTTGTCACGGCGGGGCTGGGCTGGGCTGAGCAGCGCTGCAGGGCTCGGCAGGAGCATTGCATTATCTCATCCTGCCCAGCCTCTCGGCTTTTCCAGTCGCCTTTCCCAGGCACTGGGGCCGGGCATCTCTCGGGAGGAGCCGGAGCAGGGCCGGGGTGTCTCGCTGTTAATGACCCGAACTCCAGGGAATGCTCGGAGAGGAACAAAAAGGGAGTCGGGAATGGGAGATAACCCCGGGATCGCCGGGAATGTCGTTTGTGCTCCGCTGGCTTTAATCATCCCCGGGAGCCGGCTCGGGTCAGCAGCTGGAACTCTTCCCCGTGGCTGGAAGGGACGGAATTGCGGCCAATTCCCGTGGAGGAGCTGCTGACCTCAATCCGTGCCCTGGATGGGAAGGGGCCTTTCCCCACCTGTCCTTCAGGAGCGGAGCCTCCCAGGGAAACCGCGGCTCGGGGGCGGTGCCGCGGTGTCCTGACAAAGTGCTTTATATCGCGACATAGCCCCGCAGCCGGGGCTTAGGCTGTCTGGAGAGCAAGTGCCAGAGTGGGAGGTTTCCTCATTCCCACAGCCCTGGGTGATCCCACCACCATCTCTCCTTCCTTTTCCTTATGCTGATGCCAGAGAAAACCTGAGGGAAAAATCCCGGTTTTCAGCCTGTGTCCCCCTGGGCTTGGTATTTCCTTGGTGTCACAAGTGGGAGAGGAGAGCAAAATCTTGGGCAGAATTCCAGCTATTTCATAGAATCCAGAAGGGTTTGGTTTGAAGGGCTTTGCAGACCATCCCTGCCACGGGCAGGGACACCTTCCCCTCTCCCAGGTCTCTCCAAGCCCTGTCCAGCCTGGACACTTTTCCAGGGCAGGGTGGTGCCTGTCTTGTGTTGTTCCATGGTGTTGGACTCCGCGCTGTTCTCCTGGAGTTCTGTGTCTCCGTGCTCGGGCGGCGGCAGAGCCACATCCCGTGGTTGTTTTGGCATGGCAGGGATGTTTGTGTGTGTTTTTCCTGCTGTGCTCCCTGGAGTGTTCCCTGACAGGTGACTCCACCCAGGCAGCATCAGCATTGCTTTTCCAGGGTGGCAGGTGAAGCTCTTGGACTCAGAAAGGCTCTGGACAGTTTTACTGTTTTCTCTCGTGGGTTTTTGCAGGCAGTGTGTACAATTTTCAATTTTAATTGGAGTTTACTCCAGCCTTTATTCCCTGGACTCCATTTTTCCCTGTGTTTGGCTGTGGGAGCAGCCCCTGAGGGAAGCTCACCTGCAGGACACGTGCTCCTGCCCTGCCTGGGCTTGGAATGAAGGTGGGGTTGGTTTATTCCCACTGCTGAACGTGGGTGACCTCTGATTTGGGGATTCCAACCTCTGCGTTGGGCACCTCCTGCAGAGGTGTTTGCTGCCTGGGAGAGCTGGGACGTGCTCCTTGTCCTGTCCTTAATCCCAGGAAATGCAATGCATCCAGCAATCTGCACGTCTGCCAGGAGTGACAGGTTTGGAGTGGGAGCTTGGGGAGGGTCTGGCTGTGCATTCCCAGCTCGGGAATGGTGTGGCTGTGCATTCCCAGCTTGGGAATGGTGTGGCTGTGC